GGCTGTAAGCAGTAGCAACAGATACTTGAAGTTCCGTAAAAGTACGTCTCCCTCGTGTGTTTTATCGTACGTATTAACAATTACCTAGCCGCTGTTGACGCTATCCGGAAGAGTGAGGCAGGTCCAAGCTCCTACGCGTCTACCCCGCTGCCGCCAGCAACACCTCAACATCTGGCGTGCCCTTCTTGCGGTGCGGAACCAGGCAGCAAGCTATTAATGGGAGGGGTAGAGGTGAAGACAGGGCATTTGGGTGGTAAGCTTGCTCCGATATATCTCCCCAGGGCCTTGTTAACCTCTCTTCGTCTGCCGCAGCGCCGGTTGCAACTCCTGCCACATCCCGGAATCCCCCCCTAAATGACCTGACCCCGAAGAGGATCCCTGACGCCGACGCCGCGTAGATGGTAGTGCTACCCTCTAACATAGGCGAGAACGGGGCCACGTTTTCCAGTTCTTAAGAGGCCCGTAGGGCAAAACGGCAAAGAGAAGAGCCGGAGGGTAGGCCATGCCAGCCGCAGGGCATCGGGAACCGGACACCCAGTCAAGAAATTCCGCAGCCTCCATTCAGTGTTTCTTACGATAGGTCTGCTTGATTGAGTTCTTTTCATCATTGGCTGACAGAAGCGGTGCTTGTACTGCTACAGACCACGCCGCTGCCCTGTAGTTCAGTCAGTTAAGTCACGGTCAGAACCCGACGTCCCAGATATCTAGCACTGAGTCCCAAAGCTCCTGTCCCGATCCGGTCATTCTACCTCCAGCCGACACGTAGCCCGAGAGGATAATCTGGCAGATGCTTTGTTTGGCACCTACCGACAGGGTCGCGACACGGTTTTCGGCTGTTAGGCTTATTTCCGATTTAGCACGGTCGAGACAAGTGTTCGTCTTGGGGGAAGGGTTCTCTAACATCGTACAATGTTATCACTATATCGATGATGTTATTGAGATTGAGATTCATCTTGGTAGTGCTAGTAAACACTCTTGTCTGCAGGCTGCTAACCAGATACGGGAGATGTACAGAGGCCTTCCCGGTGTATCTGTCGCCGTCGAGGAAGTTTGCCAGGTGAAGATGGCGATGCCCCCTTCCCCAGAATCTGAGGCGCTAGTCAACATGTTCTCCTGACATCAGATGAGGATCGTGGCGGCATCGGCAGGAAGGAGCACACCTGTTTCTTGGAGTTCTCGTTGCGATGTCGTTGTGTTCTCAGCTCTTCAGCATACCCATTCATTCAGAGTCTACTTCTCAAATTCCAGTGTTCACCCAACGTTCATCCTCTAGCAGTCTGTAAATCGTATCTCTATGGAACCTACGCGAACGGTTTACCCTACTGTAACAAGCTTTTTGCCCTGTTCTAACAGTTCTGTCCCTGAAACCTCCTCCTGCCCGATCATAATACGTCCTTTGCCAAAATGGCCTTGACCTTTCTATTCTAGCATTCTGTCCTTCTCGGCCGCTGGGAAGGTGTGCGCGACGATAGGTTCGAACTGTCCGCTTTACGCGACATCTCCTTTTTGAAATTAGCACCGGCATTGATGCAACAGGGGGGGCACCTACGGTAGCCATAGCTACAATACCAGGTTTTTATTTGATGAGTATTTGAGAGGTATAAAGTTGCAGAAGTTACATAATTTACGCCGGACACGGCCATTCCAACAGCGGGGTATTGAGGGGTCATTGGGAAATGGTCGATATAGAGCGGATCAACTGGCTACGATGACGGATGGAGAAATTGTCATATAACACCGGAAAAGTACGGCTCAGGAAGTGCCTGGAGCCAGTATTGTAGAGCGCAGAGGGGCCATGAGGACGTTCGAGCATGAGGTTATACTCAGAGTCAAAACTTGAGCGCGCTCCATAGTCTTGAGGTTTAGGAAAGGACAAGGCGGCTGGATAAGGCGGCTGGACAAGGCTGGGTAAGGTGGCCAGTAGTGATTCTGCCCAACTGCAATGTAAACAGGGGTCGTATCTGGCTATCGACGCCACTCTGTCAAGACGGTGCAAATGGGTCTCGTGCGAGGGTCCTCCGGCTTTACCCTGGGGGTTGCTGCATTCCTAGCGCAAGACAGCCGTCTTAAACAACCCGTCGCCAGACTCGGATTTGCCGCTCGGGCGAAGAGTGACAGATCCATAGGAAGCTTGACTAATTGGAGATACAGTGTCGATGAGGCAGACTCTGCATGTGCTCATCAGCCGCCTGCATTGGCGTTGATGAGAGTCCTCCTGGGCCTCACTGGTCTTAGCGAGACCGAAATATATATGGTAGGGGTTTCCCCAAAAACAAGGGTTTGTAATGTAGGTCTCCCGGAGGAGGGTCTCGACAAAAACAAGGGTTTGTAAGGCAGATGTCTCCCAAAACAAGGGTTTATAATGGAGGTCCCCTTGCCAGAGCGGGTGTCTCCAAAAACAAGGGTTTATGATGTGGGGTCTCCTTGACAGCAACCGGGGAGCTTTCCTTCGAAGGGGATGCCTGGGTGACCTCCAAGCGAGCTCGCACTCTGAACGGTGACGACCGATGTTCCGCGGCAGAATCATGCATACATAAGGGATCGTATTACGTTGTCGACGCCACTCTGCTATCGGTTTAGCACGTTTCGTCCAGGGAAGCAGGGATCCTGGAGGATACGATCTTGTCTAATTGTAGTCTCAATGTATTAATCTTAAGTACTCGATATATAGCCTCTTACTATACTGTCCTCGACCCCTGGAATCTAGGTAGCTTCGACCTAAACGAACGCTCCTAATCTAGCACTACCTTTGGTTTATACTCTCTATAAACTTCCTCCTTGTCTTTAAAATCTATAATCTTAGCTTCGTATCTATTCTACCCCCTAGTGCCTATAAAAATATTCTCGCTACTAGCATTAGACATAAATTGTAGTTAGGGTAGATTGCTTACCTATATATAGTTGTATATTGAGAACGACCCTGTCTATCTGCTTAGGGTTGTTCTGTATACTTTAAGGTTCCTATGCCTGCGGAACATATAGGAGTCCTGACTAGCCCCTAGTACCATTAAGAGTACTGGTTAGCTACTTGGGGTTTCTAGAGATAGCCGTTTCCCAAGATAGCCCGTTGCCATTTTCGGAATCCTATATATAGTCCTATGTATATGGTTGTAGACTGCTATACTGTTGACCCTAGTCGGCAAGGCTATACTAGTAATATATAGACTGTTTCCTCAGCTCGGTTTATATATAACTTACAATATAAACTAACTCTTTTTACTATGTTTAATTGGAAACTCGCTCGATAGATCTTTACTATAGACTATTACCTTATTTATAAGCTAGTTATATTTATAAAGCTAGGCTTATATTAACCTATATTCAGTATAGTAATAGTAGCTAGGTCTTTACTACTTAACCCGAAGCTAATAGAGGATAGAGAAGTACAATATAAGAAGCTAACTACTAGAAATAAAGGCAGGACTTATAATAGATATATAAAGTCAACGGTAAATGTTATACTAATCTTAGAGGCTAAAGAGGGAGGTAAAGAAAGAGAGGGTACTCTAAAAACCAGGGACTAGGAGTAAATGTATCACAGACCAATGTACAGAACGTATAAGGCTAGGGCGCAGGATACACTACTAACCAATCGTTTATAAAAGAGCCTGAACCAATCAGGATTGGATTGAGGAAGTAATACAACGATCCAGGACCAAGGTTAGATCGTAGGGAACGACTAACGATCCCGACAATCTAGGTATAAAGGGACTTTAGGATAAAGAAGTCATTAAGTATATAGATAACCAGCTAGTTACTTATTAAAGGAGTCTAGGACTTCCTTAGTAAGTAATATAACTTATTTACTACTATGACAAATCGTATCAACCACACTCTGAAAGGGTTCACTAAAGGTACTGGTAAGGGTTGTGATTCGATATAGCCAAAGGGTATATAACAAGATAACAATCTAGTCTCAATGTCTATAGCAATTAGTAGCGAACAAGTTATATTGCTTACTAGAGAACTTCCAGAGCTCTCTAGAACGAGTAACTATATACTGTCTAAGTTCGCCACTACTAGCTTAGCTATTATAGTCTACCCTAATACCTCTAGGTAGGTGTCTACCTAGGCCTATTGTAAGTCCCTATACTTGCTAGCTAACTAAGGCTACCTAGGGCTACTTTACTATAGCCGTCCTCTTCTTCTTATTGCTTATTAGCTATATCCTTCTATATATACCCTACCTAGGCTTCTACTATATAGTTGGTTTATAATATAATACCCCCCCTCTTTATCTTCTTATCCTAAAAGACCTAGGGTTCCTAACAACTATATCTTAGTACTAATGTCCCTTCCTATTTATAAGTATATATTTTTCCTTCCTTAGTATATCCTTCTCTCGATATTTACTATAGCTAACCCTAAGTACTATAGTTCTTATAATCTAAAGCAAGAATAGCTTATTTTTATAATGAAAATCGAGCGATCAGGTTTTAAGGTCAATATACCCTATAAGCGTTACTAGAATGTAAAGCTATAAAGGTATTATATTATAATAGAGGGTTCAAATAAATGTTCAAACTATATATAGATAGGTAAGAAGTATAGTAGCCCTAATATAACTAGTTCTTATAAGTATTATATAACCTAGGATTATCTCTTAATAGTATTCTAATAGGTATCTTAGTATTATCTAATTTATTAGAGTAGGAGAAGATAATATAGGATATTAAGGAGGTAAAGTAGATATTATCTAAGACTTTAAGTCACTTATCCTATCTCTATTCCTAGTAGCATTTTCTTTATAATCATAGTATTAAGATATTCTACTAGGGTATATCTTATCTAGAGGAGAAAGAGGAACCTGATTCTCTAAGGCTAATACTAGAGGAATAATCTTTGGTTAGTCAGGTATAGTTAATAGGTACCTTTAGTATACTAGACTAGGAGGCTCTTAGCTTCCTAAGGTCTAAGGATACTCCTTCTTTAGTAGGTCCTTTACCTAGCCCTCTTCCTCTTAAGTAAGTATTCCTTTCCCTTCTTTTAATAAATAAAATAGTTATATAGTATAATGGTAATATATATACTATTAGTATATTATTTATATCTATATTTAGTAGGTATAAATAATATATATATACTAGGTTATAGGTTCAATTTCTACTATAACCTTGATTTTTTTACTAACCATTGTCCTTCTAGTTCCTTATTAGCTTCCTTTAACAATAGTAGTTTTAACTAGTCTTCTTTAGTTATATAGGGCAATTAGAGTACTAGTAGTAGAAATCCTATAACTTCTCTAGGCAATTAATCAAATTTTCTACTAATTACTATAAGTTATCCTTAAGTCCAAAGTCCAGCCATTTAACTAGGTACTTAAGTCATTCCTTTATAATTCTTAAGTCGAGGATTTCTTCTATATTCTATTCTTCTTCTTTATCCTCTACTTTAATATCTTTATCGAGCCTTAAGTTCTTTAATATAGGTTCTAATAATATAATATAAAAAACGTTCATTTATAACTTTATAGTTAATAGTAAGGTAAGGGTATAGTTATTCTCTAAAAATTTTTTATTAATTTTAAATGGTCCGATCTTCCTAAAATCCAGTTTTCTACTAGGTCGTTTAGTTTTAAGATTCTATAAACTAAGGTAGACCTTATCCCCCCTTTCTAAGTAAGGTCCCTTAAGCCTTTTTTAGTTATAGAACTTCTTTATCCTAGCCTTTATAAACTCGAGCTCTTCCTTAAGTATTATATAGAGTAAGCTTATTTTATCTACTTTAATAGTAGCCTAGGGCACTTTAATGTTAGGTCCTTATTAAAGGTCTAGTTTATAACTAAAGTTTATAAAATATAGTATAACTTTTATTATCTCTATTTTAGTAGTATTATAGGTAAGCTATATAATAGGTAGTAATTTAACCTAGTTATCCCACTAGAAGTTGATATAAAGTTAAAGGTACTATTTAACTATCTAGTTAAGCTATTCTATTTAGCTATCTATCTATATATAATATACTATTAAGAGTTTACTTTTTATACTAAGTCTTATTATTAGGGCTTACTAAAACTTTAAGGTAAACTTAGTATCTCGATCTATTATCTACTCCTTTAGCTATATATAGATTAAAGTAATATACTAGTAGAAAGTATCTATAAGTTATTCTACTATCTAGGTTTCTTTATAGGGTAGGAAGTAGATCTACTTAGTAAGCCTATCTACTATAGTAAGAATACTATTATATACTATCTATATTATAGTATCCCTAGATTCTAGTAACTTAGTAATAAAGTCTATAGTAATTAAACTCTATAGTTATTTAACAATAGATAAGGGTTATAGTAGCCTATAGGGCTTATATTATCCTAGTTTACTCTATCTATAGAGATTATATTTATTAATAACCTCTTTAACCTTCTCCTTAAGGTATAGGAAGTTATAATGTTACTTAAGTTTAGTAGCTATTTTTATAATTCCTATATATCCCCTAAGTTTCGACTAGTAGACTTTAAGTATAAGGTCCTTTTAGTCCTAGGCCTTAATATAGGCCTTACTATAATACTAGAGTCTTATCCTATCTAGTTATAGGCTAGGGGTATTTACCTCTAGGTCTATTCCCTAGTCGGCCTATTCCCTACTAGTAATAGTTCCCTGAAAATCCTATCTTTCTCTTTCTTCCCTAAAAACTATATAATATTCTATAAGTGGCTATAGAGATACTTCTTCTTCCTCTATCTATTAGTAAATAGCTATAATCTTATAGTCTTTAACTAGTTATAAGGTATAGTAAAGGGTATTATTTATCTATTACTATAGTAGTATTAGTAAGCTTTCTAGTATATTACCTTAGTGATTAGTCCTCCTATTTAGGGTATCTACTTATATATTTTCTATACCCTTCTTATAGTTAATTATAAAGTTAAACTCTAATAAGAACTCTACCTATCTAGTTTATTACCTATTTAAGACTTTAGTTATTATAAAGTATTTAAGGTTCTTATAGTTAGTATAGACTTATACTAAATAGATAGTTCTACTAAAGTAAGGTCTTTACTCCTAAAATACTTTAATAATAGTAAGTAATTCCTTATTATAAATAGGATAATTAAAATAGGGCCTATCTAGCTTCTTTAAAAAGAACTGTCACGAGTTGGCCGCATAAGGGCGGCCCAGAGAACCACGAGTGGGGCGCAGGACGCACCACTGGCCAATCATTTACAGATCGATGGATCTCTTTAAGATCTATAAGAGCCAACGTCACGGATCGATGAAAGACACCCGAGAGCTAACTGACTCGACAGGATCGCGTTGAGATCTACGAGATCCAGGTATAAGATACATTGGGAACAAAGAAACCATCAGGTATATAGATAACTAGCTAGTCACTCGTTAAGGGAGTCTGGGACTTCCTCAGTAAGCAATACAACTTGTTCGCTACCAGTTACTATAGACATTGAGACCAGATCATTATCTTATTGTAAACCTTTTGGCTTTACTGAATCACAACCCTTACCAATACCTTCAGTGAACCCTTTTAGAGTGTGGTTGATATAGTTCGTCATACGTTGCTTACTCCCTTTGATTCTGTCACGGTTTAGACGAAGGTAATCGACACCATAAGCTCTTCGATAGTTCCTACCACGGTAGAGGAGGTCAACATTATCCTCCGAGGGCTCTGTACCCAGATCAAGGCCCTCGAGGACGAGAATAAACGCCAGTAGGAGGTCATCAATAAAAGCACCGCCTAAGTTGAGGCGCTCGGGAAGGCTAAGATCAAGATCGAAGCCCCTGCCAAGTATAAAGGCAGGAAAGAAGACCTCTCGAGGTTCCTCATAGAAATAGCTTCCTATATCGAGCACTATAAGGAGCGTTTCAACACAGAGGCTACTAAGACCTGTTATACGGCCTCCCGACTTGCGGGACAACCTGTCCGATGGTTCGAACCTACCTTGCGGGATTATATGGAAGAGTCCTATATAGATTAGCGCGAGTTTATGTAGAAGGTCTTCGATGATTACGCCTATTTCAAGGAGGAGCTTATAAAGGTGTTTAGAGATAGAGACGAGAAAGTCTATACTCAGGACCGACTAGCCAGGCTTCATCAGAGCAAGTCTACCTCGGCCTACGCTACCCTGTTCCAGTAAGATACTATCTAGGCTAGGATCAATAAGGACGGACTTATATCCTTATTCTATAATGGCCTGAAGGAGGATGTAAAGGACGAACTCTATAAGGAGGACCGTCCAGGTACGCTAGACGAGTATATCGCCAAAGCCGTCTATATCGACGATTGCCTTTATACCCGGAAGCAGCAGCGGAAAGGACAGCAGAAGTTGGTGGTCGGAGGGAACCAGGCCAACGAAGGAAAGAAACGGCATAAAGGGACGTCTTACAATATACAGCCCGGACCTATAGAAATCGACACAGTTCAAACACAGTAGCCCGACAAGCAACCCTATAATAAGACTAACGTTACCTATTACAACTACAGGAAGAAAGGCCACTATAAGTACGAGTATAGAAGCCCACGGAAATAGGGAAGGACCCTAGGCCAGTAGTCCCCAGTACCAGGATATAAAGCCGCCGTCATCGAGAAAGGAGTCAAGTTCAAAGAAGTCGCTACCAGTAGTATCGACCAGGACGACGTCGACTATACCTACTATAAAGAGGAACTCTATAGGGACTATAACGACGAGGAAAGGTTTAGGTTTAGAAGAGAGGACAAGGAGTTTTCAGACGTCTCGGAGAAATACAAGGAAGAACCTACAAGGCCTATCGGCAACGACGACGAACGCCTTAAGACTAATAAGCTCAGGTAGACCGTACCCTACTTCACAGGGACTAATACTCCTAATAACGGAGGATAGTCGCTTATATAGGACTCGTATAGACAATAGAGCACTACCCAGGAAAACGAGAAGCCCGGACTTAACCCCTAGTATCTTAGTAAGAAGGTATTTAAATCATACGATAAGATCGATAGCCTCTAGCTATCGATTAGGAGGTTGAAGAACGAAGTCATCAGCCTATAAAGGCAGGTTTAGGATAGAGCCTACAAGCGACAACAACTCCTGGAGTACAACGAGGTTTAGGAAGAAGAACTAGACTAGAGACGGTACGAAAATAAGAGACTTCAGAAGGTCAATAAACGACTTATAGGACAAGGATAACCTATACTATAGGCAGTCAAGTAGTTAAAAGAACACCGAACTATCGACGCTACTAGCCAGGGAGTAGATAGGAGCGCCCTATAATACTAAAAGGATTTAGGAAACGACTATAGGCCCTCTAAGGGGCCTGCCAACCTCTAAGCTCAGAAGCGAAACAACAGGTCGTATAGTATAGGTAGAACTGGTATAAATAAAAACCCTATAACAACCTCCTAGCTAGCCTAGAAGAGATAGCTATAGTTCAGGACCGGAGTTAGGACAATCGACTTTAGGTTACTGCTAGATAGAAGTACATATAGGCTTTGACACTAGTAGATAGTAGGTTATAAGCAGACCTTATTAGCCCTACTCTAGTCAACAAGTATAGGATCCCCTAGAGGATGAAAAAGGAGCCTTACCTAGTATAAGGACTATTCCTGACCCAGATGGTTAGAAGAGAAACTAAACCTCTTGACATCGAGGTAGAAGGGAAAACCACGAAGGTGGTGTTTGACATTGTAGATATAGGAACCACTAAGGACATGATTTTAGGGTTACCCTAGTATAAGGATTATAACCTAGATATTAGTTAGAAGGATAGTAGCCACCTACAACTATATAAACTACGGAAGTACCCGACCAATACGATAGGAAGTATAGAACAGGAGCTACAATAGGGTGAAGCGTAAGGAAATGTAACCCCTATAGGCCCGCTATAAGAAACAGTCAGTAAAAGAAAGCAGGCTCTAGATTCTAGAAAACGCGGTCTACAACAATAAAAGAAGATATAAACCGACTAGGAAGTCACCATCGTCTCAGTCGATAAAAAAGGGAAGCTTACAATCGAACAGTAGGTTAGCCTAGTTAAGGTAGCTAGCATTGAGTATAGAGGAAGGAGAATCGATAAGCTTAAGGTTATAAGCGTCGAGCTAGGGAACAATAAGTTCGCCTACTATAGGGGAACTATAAAGACTACTATAACCGGCAAAGTTCCCTAGGAATACGAAGGACATCTAGCATTTTAAGCTAAGCACCTTAAGGGACTCCTAGAATATAGACCCTAGGACTATAAGATCAAGCTTAAGGAAGGGGTATAGCTAAAGTTCTTTAAGGTCTACTATACTAACGAAAAACAAGACGCTAAGTTAAGGAAGTACTTGGACAATAACCTGAAGATTAGGTATATCTAGCCGTCGACTTTATCTGCCAGATACCCTATATTGTTCGTTCTAAAGAAGGATAGGAAACTTAGAATGTATATAGACTACCGATAGCTAAATAGCGAGACGATCAAGAACCGATACCCTCTACCATTAATCTTAAGGCTTTAAGATCAATTGGCTAGAGTATAACACTTTACCTATCTCGACCTACCGATAGTATATACCTATATCTATATTAAGGAGGGGGATAAGTAGAAAACGGCTTTTAGAACCCCTTATAGGCACTTTAAGTACCTGATAATGCTATTTAGGCTTACCAATGTACTAGCGACGTTCTAAGCTACGATCGACTATACTATTCGACCCTACCTCGACAAGTTTATAGTATACTACTTAGACAATATCCTTATCTACTCTAAGATACTTGAAGAACACCGGTAGTATATATAACAAGTGCTTGATATACTATACCGGCATTAACTATCGGTCAACAAGGAAAAGAGCGAATTTCATATCCAGAAGACGGTGTTCTTAGGATACGAAATCTCGCTAGGAAAAGTCAAGATCGAACCCTAGAAGATCCAGGCAATTACGGAATGGCTAACGCCTACTAATGCTACCGAGGTTCGAGGGTTTATCGGGTTTACGAACTTCGTCCGGATATTCATTCCAAAGTTCGGCAACATCGTATAACCCTTATACAAACTCACTAAGAAAGGATCGGAGTTCAAGTAGGGGGATACCTAGGAATAGGCATTTCGGAGGATCTAGCAGAGTATTTTAAAGGACCCAATACTCTTGCTACCGGACCCTAGCCTACCTTTTAAGGTAGAAGCCGACGTATCGGACTTTACGATCGGAGGATAACTCGGACAGAGGGACGAGAACGGGAAGTTACACCTAGTAGTATTCTTCTCGAAAAAGCTAGACGGGCCTTATCTTAACTATCCTATTTACAATAAGGAGCTACTCGCTATTATCGAAGCGTTTTAAGAATAGAGACCTTACCTTAGTAGAACTACCTACCTAGTATAGGTCTATATTGACTATAAAAACCTTAAGTACTTTATAACGACTAAAGTCTTAAATAGACGATAAACCAGATAGGTAGAGTTCTTGTTGGAGTTCAACTTCGTGATCAACTATAAGAAGGGTATAGAAAATATATAAGTAGATGCCCTAAGTAGGAGAACGGATTACTAAGGCAATATACTAGAAAACTCGCTAGTACTGCTATAACAATAGGTAGATAGTACCCTTTACTATACCTTACAATAGGTTGAAGACTATAAGATTATAGCCGTTTACCGATAGATAGAGGAGGAGAAAGCGCCTCTACGACCGTTTATAGAATGTTACGTAGTTTTCAGGGAAGAAAGAGGAGGACGGAATTTTCAAGGAACCGTAGCTAGTAGGGAACGGGCCGACTAGGAAATAGACCTAGAGGCAAGTACCCCTGGCCTATAACTGGACGGGATAAGGCTCTAGTATTACAATAAAGCCTACGTTAAAACCAGGGATCAAAAGGACCTCGTACTCGAGGTTTACCAGTCGAAACTTAGAGGATATATAGGAATTACGAAAATAGCCACTAAGCTTAAGTAGTATTATAACTTCCCGTGCCTTAAGGAAAAGGTTAAAGAGGTCATTGACGAGTATAACCTCTATAGACGGAGTAAGCCAGGACGATATAAGCCCTATGGACTACTATAGCCCTTACCCGTCGCTGAACGACTATGGAGTTTAGTTATAATGGACTTTATCACGAAACTACCGGAATCTAGGGACACTACAATATAGGTGGTATACAATAGCATCCTTACTATAGTAGATAGACTCACCAAGTAGACCTATTTCCTACCCTATAAGGAGACCTGGACGGCAGAACAATTAGCGGATACCCTCTATAGGTATATTACCTCGATTCATATATAGCCAAAAGAATAGATAATGGATCGGGATACTAAGTTCGCCTCGAAATTTTAGCAGGCTCTAATAACGAGACTCGGTATAAAAAGCAAGCTCTTAACGGTATATTATATATAAACAGATAGGCAGACGGAACGACTTAACCAAGTAGTCGAACAGTACCTTCGACTCTACGTCAACTTCTAGCAGGACAACTAGGTTAAGCTACTACCTATTGTATAGCTTGCTTACAATACTACCGAGACGGAGACAACGAAAGTTATACTATATTTTACGAACTTCGGCTACGAACTGGACCTTCAATAGGGACCTAACGTTAAGGTACCCTAGGCCGCTATCAAAGCGGATAAGATAAGCTCGCTCTATATAATGCTTAAGGAAGAACTCGAGTTTATAAGGACCAGGATGAAAAAGTTCTACAACCAGAAAAGGCTCGAGGGACCTCGCCTAGAAAGGGGGGACAAGGTCTACCTTAGTTCACGAAATCTCAAAACTAAACGACCTAGCAAGAAATTGGATTTCAGGAAGATCGGACCGTTCAAAATCGACAAGAAAATCTCGGAGAACAATTACACCCTCGCCTTGCTATCAACCATGAAGTTACGAACGAACGTTTTTCACGTCGCACTACTAGAACCTATACTAAAGAACTTAAGGTTCGACAAAGATACGAAAGCAGAGGACGAAGAAGAAGAATAGGACATAGAGGAAATCCTCGACTTAAGAATCACGAAAGGGCAGCTCGAATACTTGGTCAAGTAGTTGGACTTCGGACCCGAAGACAACTCATAGCAACCAGCAGAAAACTTGGTCAATTGCCCGGAGAAACTACAGGATTTCCACCATCAACACCCTGATCGCCCTGCACAACTAAAGACCAGTCGAAACCATCGTCGAAAGGAACGGAAGAAGAACTAAGAAGAAACGATGGTCAGCAAAAAAAAACAAAAAAAAATATATAGTCACGGTGGGGATCGAACCTACGACCTGGCACGGGCTCCAGTAACCTCGAATTCTCTAGAATTCGAGGTCGCTAGACGGAGCATGCACGCGCTACCACTACGCCACACGACCATTTCATTTATTGAAAATAGGAAGAAGGGGACTTACTTAAGAAGAAAAGGATCAAGGGCGTCTGTCAGGGAAGGAGCGGCCGAGGTCTCTAGTATAGCAAGCGCCTCCGCCTCCTCCCGCTCAACCCGCTCTAACTCTTCCACGGAGTCGAGGCCCCGAACAATCGCGCGCTGCATTTTCTCGAACCACAACCGCTTCTATCGACGAAGCCGGGCAATCTTAGCGTCAAAAGTAGCACGCTCTTCCTCCGCCTTCTCCATTTTAGCTTCGAGTTTATTATACTAAGCGGCGATTTTACAGAGTTAATAGGGAGATATGCCTTAAGCGTTACAATAGGGTTGGTTATTACGGATATAAAAGACATAGCGGTCAGAGCCGTCCGGCGAAACCTCGTACTCGGTATAGCCACACCTCTTACAGTAGGAGCAGAGGGTCTATATTACTGTCGACGATCGGACAAGGATTTCAAGGAGCGCGTTACGCTACGCGGTTTTCGAGTAGGAAGATTTTAGTTTCGTTTTCTTCACACAGCTGGACATTTTGTCAGCATTTCGGTAGTATAAAAAGAAAAAGATTACAACACTCACAAGCGTAGGTCGTTAGTAGCATTTGAAGCAAGGGCTTAAACCTTTCAGGACGAAAGGGCTCGAGGAGGGGCATCGTATTACAAGTTGGCCGTATAAGGGCGGCCCAGAGAACCACGAGTAGGGCGTAGGACGCACCACTAGCCAATCATTTACAGATCGATAGATCTCTTTAAGATCTATAAGAGCCAACGTCACAGATCGATAAAAGACACCCAAGAGCCAACTAACTCGACAGGATCGCGTTAAGATCTACGAGATCCAGGTACAAGATACATTGGGAACAAAGAAACCATCAGGTATATAGATAACTAGCTAGTCACTCGTTAAGGGAGTCTGGGACTTCCTCAGTAAGCAATACAACTTGTTCACTACCAGTTGCTACGGACATTGAGACCAGATCATTATCTTGTTGTAAACCTTTTGGCTTCACCGAATCACAACCCTTGCCAATACCTTCAGTGAACCCTTTCAGAGTGTGGTTGATACAGTTCGTCACAAGAACACTACTAGATATAGCTTCCTATTCTTGTCCCTCTATCTAAGTTATCCCCCAATTATAAAGTTCAATATATTAGCTTCTACCTTAAAGGGTAGGTTAGGGTCTGGCAATAAGAGTACTAGGTCTACTAAGATACTCTATTAGATCCTCTAGAATATCTATTCTTAGATATCTCCCTACTTAAACTCTACTCCTTTTTTAGTAAGTTTATATAATAGTTATATAATATTACTAAACTTTAGGATAAATATCTAAATGAAGTTTATAAATCTAATAAATCCTTAAACCTTAGTAGTATTAGTAGACATTAGCTATTCTATAATTACCTAGATTTTCTAGGGTTCGATTTTAACCTTCTCTAGCGAGATTTTATACCCTAAGAAAACTATTTTCTAGATGTAAAATTTACTCTTTTCCTTATTAACTAATATCTAATACTAGTATAGTATATTGAGCACTTATTATATATATTATTAATGTTCCTTAAGTATCTTAGAATAGATAAGGATATTATCTAGATAGTATACTATAAACTTATTAAGATAGGGTTAGATAGTATAGTTAATTATAGCTTAGAATGTTACTAGTATATTAGTAAGTCTAAATAGTATTACTAGATACTTAAAATGCCTATAGGGTATTTAAAAAGCTATTTTCCATTTATCCCCTTCCTTAATATAAATATAGATATATACTATTAGTAGATTAAGATAGATAAAGTATTAGGCTCTAGCTAACTAGTCTTAAAGCCTTAAGATTAATAGTAGAGGGTATTAGTTCTTGATCGTCTTACCATTTAGCTATCGGTAGTCTATATATATCCTAAGTTTCCTATCCTTCTTTAAAACGAATAATACTAGATATTTAGTAGGTAAGGCTAATAGCTAGATATATCTAATCTTTAGGTTATTATCTAAGTACTTCTTTAACTTAGTATCTTATTTCTTATTAGTATAGTAGACCTTAAAGAACTTTAGCTATATCCCTTCCTTAAGTTTAATCTTATAGTCCTAAGGTCTATATTCTAGAAGCCCCTTTAGATATTTAACCTAAAATACTAGATATTCTTTATACTCCTAGGGAACCTTACCTATTATAGTAGTCTTTATAGTTCCTCTATAATAGATAAACTTATTATTCCCTAATTTAACGTTTATAACTTTAAGTTCATTAATCCTTTCTCCTCTATATTTAATACTTACTACCTTAACTAGGCTAACCTATTACTTAATTATAAGCTTCCCTTTTTTATTGATTAAGACAATCGTAACTTCCTAGTTAGTTTATATCTTCTTCTATTATTATAGACTATATTTCCTAGAATCTAGAGCTTATTATTTTCTACTAACTACTTCTTATAATAGGCCTATAGGGGTTATATTTTCTTATACTTTACCCTATTATAGCTTCTATTCTATACTTTCTATTATATTAGTTAAATACTTCTACTATCTATATAGTTATAGATAGCTACTATCCTTCTAACTAATATCTAGGTTATAATCCTTATACTAGGGTAACCCTAAAATTATATCCTTAGTAGTTCCTATATCTATAATATTAAATACTACCTTTATAGTTTTCCCTTCTACCTTAATGTTAAAAGGTTCGGTTTCCCTTCTAACTATCTAGGTTAAGAATAGTCCTTATACTAGATAAGGTTCCTTCTTTATCCTCTAGGGGATTCTATACTTATTAACTAAGATAGGGCTAATAAGGTCTACTTATAACCTACTATCTACTAATATTAAAGTCTATAAGTACTTCTACCTAGTAGTAATCTAAAGTTAGTTATCTTAACTCTAGTCTTATACTATAGCTATCTCTTTTAGGCTAGCTAAAAGGTTATTATAAGGTCTTTATTTATACTAGTTCTATATATACTATATAACCTATTATTTTATTTTTAAGCTTAATAGTTAATAAGCCCTTTAAAGGGCCTAAAGTCATTTCCCAAGTCCTTCTAATAGTATAAGGTATCCCTATCTACCCCCTAACTTATAGTATTAATAGTATAGTATTCCCTTAACTACTTAACTACATATTATATAGGCTATTCTTATCTTATAAGCCATTTATTAATTCTCTAAAGCCTTTTAATTTTATATTAGCTTTAATCTAATTCTTCTTATTAGATTTCGATATACTTTAGGAGTTATTATCATTTATAGGCTTTATCCTAGACCTACCTTTATAGGCTAGTGCCTATATTCTTTAGTCTTCCAATTATTAGTTAGAGGTCATTAATCTTATTATAGGACTTAAGTACCTTCTTCCTAAGGTACTAAAGGTTAAATCTAGGTTCTTCCCCCTCCTAGATAGTATACTACTAGCCTTAGGGGTTCTAGATAAATATCTATCCCCTATATTTAGAGGTATTAGTTCCTTTAAAGTAGGATACTATCTATCTAAGCTTATTAGCTTAGAGGTATTTATTATCACTATTAATAGATACTATAGGTTTTTCTATATATTTTTCTAAAATGTCTAAGAACTCTATTTCTTCCCTTCTAAATCTAAATCTCTCTTTATTATTATAGCTCTCTATAAGTTCCTCCCTATTATAGATATAATTAAGGTTATCTTAGCTATAGCTACTAGTAGTAACCTCCTTAAATTTAACTCCCCTTTTAATAATAATAGCTTTATATCCTAGTACTAGGGACTATTAGCCTAATATTCTACCCTACCTTTATAGGCTTCTATATTTATATTTATAATAGCCTTTTTTCCTATAGTTATAGTAGGTAATACTAGACTTATTATACAGTTATTTATTAGGCTATTAAGTCTAAATTATATTAATCTCTATTAGTCCTAGCTAGGTACTATAGGCTATACTTTTATATTACTTCTTTCCTTTATTAATATAGTTTCCTCTAATAATTAACCTCTATTATCCCTTCTTTTACTACTTTTAGATATAGAGATAGTCATTGATATAGATAGCTTTAGTAATATATTTATTAAGAGCTAAAGGGTAGTCTTCCTTATATAGCTTATCTTTAATATCTTCCTTTAACCTATTATAAAATAGCTATATTAGACCTTCTTTATTAATACTAGCCTTAATAGAATCCTACTAAAATATTATAATATAGATTATAGCTAACTTAGTCTACTAGAGCTAGATAAGTCTATCCTAGATATAGATCTTCTTATCCTAATCTTTAAATACCTTATATAGTTCCTTCTTAAAATTATTAAAGTTATTAAAAACTTTCTAGATATATAGTAATATATTATTAACATTTTAGTAAATAATATAAACCTTAAATATAGGTTTAAACTAATATATAGCTTAGCTAGTAAATCTTAAAGCTATATACTAGGCCTTAATACCTTTATCTAGGAACTAAATATAGTAATATTTAATATAGGATATTAGTTCTATAAGGAATTATATAAGGTCTTCCTTCTTCCTATCGAACTTCTTAAGGGCTTTAATCTTAAGTTTACCCCTTTTAATATCGTTAAACTTACTAATATACTTATTAATCAGATTCTACTAGACTTTAGAGCCTTTCTTAAGCTCTATAATCTTATCCTAAAGGGCTTTAATAGTATTATAGAGCTTCTCCTTTAAGGTAGTTATATTAAAATTATTACTTATAATATTAGATACCTTTATCTAAACTATAATAGAAATAAAGTAAATAAGTAATATATAATTGATTATCTCTTAACTATATTTTAAAAGGGTTTATTAAAGGTATATTAAAAGGGCTATAATCTAATAAAGCTAAAGGGTTTATAATAAGATAATAATCTAGTCTTAATATTTATAGTAATTAGTAGTAAATAAGTTATATTACTTATTAAGGAAGTCCTAGATTCCCTTAATAAGTAACTAGCTAACTATCTATATATTTAATGACTTCTTTATCTTTAATATTCCTTTATACCTAGATCTT